ACACATACCAAGAACATAGAAAGCAAAATATACATGTTAAAAAAATACATCTCAGGTTAAACAAATTTTTGTGCGCAGTCACGGGACTTTTTTCTATTCTAAATTCAATTGAAGTCACATGTTCCACAACATAAAAAAGATCAATGATCGATTTGTCACATGTGATAAAACGAATATCCACTATGCTGCAGGAGATAAAGTTATGTGATAAAAATTATTTTATTATAAAATCGAGAAATTTTGCCCTGATCTGCATTATGTAATTTCTTTCCATTTCTGGCAAATTGCGAATTAAGTTTTTTATTATGAAATTTCCATAAAAGTAAATTGTGTCCCAGAAAATCCTAAAATAGAAAATTGGTGATGATCTTGTCCCAGAAAATTAAAAAAAAATAGTTGATTTTTTAAAACAATAAAATATATAAAATAAATAAATATATAAAATATATGACAAATTAATAAATAACAATAAAGATAAAATTTCTAAAAAAATCATGGTCTAGCTACAGTGGGTTCTGGACAAATGATATCTTTTTTAATAGGATTTTGCACAAAGTCTCGTATTTCATCATACAAATACCACTGTCTAGTTGGGGTTAATCCTATTGGCTCCTTTGTTTCCAATTCATCCTCTAAAATTATAGAATCAAATCTAAAGTCATGATTTTTTAAAAGACAGCTATAATTATCAGGTTCATCATGTTGTTTTTTATATTTCACCCAACCTGGATGTTCTTTCTCAAAAGTAAAATGATGCATTTTTGATATATTAGGAAGCTTTTTAAAATATTTTGAGAGAAAGTTATTCCATTGATAGAAATTAACTTTCTTTTCATTATTATCATAAACAGGTTGTGCCAGATTATACATAGATCTAGTTGACTCATGGACAACTTGAACTAAATCATCAATGTCATCAACATCAGATTTTCTCAATCTTAATTTTATTAATCCAAAAAAACCATCTGGTACAAATTTAGTATGCCCAGGTACCATAAAAGAGTATGTAATTTTTTCATTGTATACATTCATAACTCGCCAAGTCAAATACCATAGCATTGCATTATTTTTATTTTGACCAGAACAATTATCAGCATGAATGGTTATATTTTTTTCACCCATCCCATATTTTTTAAAATAATGGTGCACCATAGAGATTACTGCATCAGCTCCTTTTCCTACTGAATATTTTTCAGGAATTAGAAAATTTACCTGAAATTAATGAAAAAATATTAATATATTTTTTTAAAATTTTTATTTTTAAATGAAATATACTTGTTCTGGAATAGCTTCATTGCAAATACCAAATAATTGCACTTTATACAATGATTTGAAAAATGTATTTCTCTAATTATTTTTTGTATAAATTAGTTTTAGTTAAATACAATTAATTTTTATAAGAAAATAAATCAACATACTATTTGCTGTGATGAAACAGGTAATTGTATTTGTTCAGCAAAATTCCAAGAAATATGAGTATTTATATTAGATGAGCATGGAATAATATCTTCATCAACAATCATTGAAATATTATTTCTATATTTTAAATCTTCCTTTGCATTTTGAATACAATTCCTAAGAGATTTAACAAATAAGTTAAATTAATAGTATATATTGAAAAAAAATATTTGAATTGATACCTATAATAATGTAACAATTTACTTTGTAATCATATACAACGTCTTGTGTAGTACATCAATATTTACATCTGGAAACGTGACACAAAATTAATCATTATTTGTGACATCAATTATTTTGTGTCTTTATTACTTAAGAATTATTATGATTATTTTATTTATATTTTATCAATCTTTTGTTATTATTTATATTTTATTTATATCATATCAATCTATGTAATTTTATTATATAAAGGACATCATTTTTAAGATAATAAAGATAACTTGTATTTTTACAATAATTAAAGTACCTGTTCGACGAATGTGTTAAAATATTGTTTTTATTTTCATTAAGAAAAGTAATTCTTACAAATAATCTCTCTCTTCATTTGACCATCTAATATGTTCATTCCAAACTTTTACTCTTTTTTCTTTTTCAGCTGAGGTCCAGAGAGTTGAATTGAACCTCATTTCTTTACACAATTGACAAAGATCAGTTCGAGGGGATAGGAATTGTATTTCAGAAAGATATTTTTTCCAAATTCTGACAAAACTTTTATAAGAAACAGAAAGCTCTGGAGTTTCAGCAATATTATTTAGGAATTCATCATGCATTCTTGTATAATTTTCTTTTGTAGATAAATAAATTATAGGTTTTGTATCTCTTTTAAAATGACAGCCTAAATTCAAAATTATTAATAAATATTTGATAATATAAATTATTTTTATTTAAAATTTACCTGAGATGGTAAACCATGTAAAGATGCAAAATTTTTAATAAATGTAAGTATTTTTAATATATTATCAAAAGAAATTGCATTAGGTGGTTTTTTTCTTTTGTTTAAATGTGTTACTGGGATAATATCATTATTTTTATAATGTTTTTTTAAATTTTTTAATCTATTTTCTGATAAATTATATAAATTCAAAAAAGCATTAGCACATATTTTAACTCCATCATAAATATATTTTAATGTCATATAATTATTGATTGTATTCATTGGATTCTTTATTGAAGCTGAGACAACCCCCAATAAAAATATATTTTGTTCATTCTTATTTAAATTGTTATAATTTTTATATCTTAATATAGCACTTTCTTGATCAATATTTGTTAAACAATCTTTATTACAACATTTTGTTTTTAATATATTTAAAATATAAGCTTTTGATTCTTCATTTTTTTGATCTATTTTTTCTTGTGTTGTTACTAATTCATCAGAATCTATTTCAACTGAATTTTTGCAATAAATATTTCTAAATTTTTGAATTTCTAAATCTGAAAAAATACTACCATTTGTGTTATCAAGTTCATCATCAGAAACTTCTGACTCATCAGTCTCATCAATGCCAATGATATCTTCTGCTTGAATATCCAAAGGAGAAATAAAATTATTTTGAAGTTCTTGGAATTCTTCATTTAATTCTGATAATTCTGGGTGGGTTTTGTCAAAAAGGTTATTATTTTCAGATAAAATATTACTCATTTTTTTTATTATTATGTATGATGGGTAAAAAAAAAATTTTAATTTGGATATTATCAAATTTGTACATTTCTTTGTAGATCATCCCGGAAATTTGGGTCATTGCACGAAAAAGGTGTTTTTCAAAAAACGAAAATATCTAACAACTTTATTAAGTAAGCATGGGTATGTTTCTAAGCTCAAATAATTCCTAGGCACATAATGCATGTAATCATGTTACTATCTCAAAAATGATCAGAAATCAAAATTCGGCCTTTTTTGTTGTCCATGCCCCAAGTAAGGTTTTTAAATTTTAAATATATTTATTTAATTGATTATAAAGCATTAGATTCTAGTAATTAAAAGAAAGAATCGATTTAATATTCATATAAATTTATTATTTATTTTTTTATTTTATCATTATTTTATTTCTTAAAGCTAAATTATAATAATATTTGAAATAATAAACATTTTACAGTTTTCTGATTCTTGTTAAATGGTAATATTGCCGATTGTGGCTTAAATTTGGGGCACTCTTATCAGTTAATTGCAAGCAGCTTACAATAATTTGATGCTTGTCAATTAATTAGTTTATGGATTTACTTTGGTACTGGATAACTCTAAATAACTAAAGATGGTCCTTTTACAAAGTTCAAGGGCTTTTATTTATTCACTTGTGATCGATTTATTTCAGTCATTTACCTTGTTTATATTTATTGGCCAATTGCAAACTCGCTTTGGTTTATTTACAAAACAACTCAAGTAGCTTGTTTAACAGCCTTACGTTTACGATTAAAATAATAACCTTTGGACGATACTCACTAATTGACCAATGTTAGTCCTAACCTTTGCTTGCACACTAAAGCGAATAAAATGTAGCTTTTTACCAAACTCCACAATTGTTAACTTTTACCAATGCACTACACTTGTTGCTTTTATCAAAGCGCTTTAAACAAGAAAATAAAGACAATGTTTTTTTAAAAGTTTATTGATTTTATATAATGATTCTATTACAGAGTTTTATTTTATTAGGATGTTAATTATCTATTACTTTTTCAAGAGAGGACCCGAAGTCATTCAAGCGAAGACCAGAAGTTATTCCCTATGAAATTTTCGTTGATCGTTACAATAAAGATAATGAATTAGGGAAAATTAAAGGATTATTATTGCAAAGTAACTTAATTAATCAATGGTGTCTAAAATTAGTTGACCTTGGAACATAAAGTACACTAATTTCATCTATCCCGATCATGCATCACGTTATTAATATTAGTATATATAAGAAATGTTTCGAGCTTAGTAGTGTGGATGGAGTGAGTGCAAACTTAGCTCCTTGGGAATGAAACAAAAGATCGTCAAACAGGAGTCTTCCAATGCAATCATATTTTATTTTATTAAAAACGAAAAATCAATCATTGATTAGTTTGGCATTGAAAATTCCAAACAAATATAAAAATGGAGAATTTTTTATCTTCTAAAAATGTCTTCATTGTTATCTTGGTTTAAACACTTTAATTAATAAATCACACCGAGTGTCCTCATCGTCTTCATTATCTCACGTAAAGAGCGTTTATTATTATATATCAAATTTAGTTATCGTTTCGCTAATCACGATAGAATCAATAATAATAACACATCAAACAAAATTCTCAAACTGTTTAAAGTTAATCCCAAGTCATAACATAATTTTAACAAGACGCAATTTACAACACTGATTTAAAAAGAAATAAAAAAACACTAAACAAATTTAATTGTAATTTATTATTTTATATAAAGTTTCTTTTTATTTCATATTTTATTTTTTCAACAAATACTTTCATTCAATCCAAAAAAAGACTTTTATTTTCCAATTTGAGAAAGTAACGTAGCAAATGGGTCTAGTGAAATGTCAAATATATGAGATACTCCATATTAATATTAACATGCAGAGAAAAAAACCACATTCGTACATGCCCAAGCAAGAAACAAGGAGCCATGTTCACTTGATTTTTTAGAGTACGTCCATATATATAGAATAAATTTATATAAATAGTATTACAAAAATATGTAATTATTTGAGCATATCTTTAAAACTACCTTGAATATTTTGGTATAACACCGCTTTGTCACCGATATAAACAAAGTTTTTTAAATTTTATCTTTTTTAAACATATACACATATTCAATATAATAAATAATAACATTAGTTAATTGATTTACAAAACGTACAAAAGATGAATAATCTTGATGAATTGTTCAGTCACACAAAAAATATATACGGAAGAACATTTTTATCGGATCAAGATGTAAAATATTTATTACCAGTCGATGATTTAGAAATCAATCGTAATATTACCTTTTATTTGTTATGGAAATGTGTTTGGCAAAATGATTTTTCTGTACCGATCGAAGAAAAATTACAAAACGGTTGTAGTGTACTTGATATTGGGTGAGTATAAAAGTATTATATAATTATTCTCTTTTTTTTTTTTTGGAAGAGAATTAAAAAAAGTAAATTTTATTTAATTAAAGATGTGGGCCAGGATACTGGTTGATTGATATGGCAGAAAAATATCCAAAATCGACATTTCTTGGGATAGATGTAGCCAATTGTTTTTATAGTGGTATTATTGGTGAATCATCATCGTCATCATTATCTAGTAGTAAGCCTGAAAATTTAGGATTTTTACAATGCAATGTAATCAAAGGGATTCCGTTTCCTGATAATACATTTGATTTCATAAGACAATATGAAATGTGTATGTCATTTGCCGAAAATGATTGGAAGTATATGATCAATGAATTTGTTAGAGTGTTAAAACCTAGTGGTTGGATTGAAATTTCAGAATTTGGTTACGATCTACTATTAGGCGGTAAAACCGAAGCTGGTAAACTTATCAACAAAACTTGTAAGTTTTTATTTTGAATTCATTAAATATTATATCAACTATTCATCATTAATTATTAGTTATTTTTATTAGTAGATAAAATGTTAAAAGAAAAAGGTTTAAATGGTGATATTTATAAAGACATGCCAAAACTATTAGAATCAAATCCAAATTTAGTTGATCATCGAACAACAAGTATAAAATGTCCTGTTGGTAGTTGGGCAGGAAATTTAGGTGGACTTGTAAGTATTTTCACGTGTTGTTGATATTTGTAATAATAATAATAATAATAATAATAAGATAAATAATTCTTTTATTAGATGTGTGAGCAACTTCATCAAATGATTGAGGCTATGGTTGATGTACCAGCTTGCATGGAAATAACTAAAGAAGAATATCGTCAGAAATTGACAGAATACATTCACGACATTAACAAGTTTGGTGGTTACATGACAAAATTTCGATTTTATTGCCAAAAAAACCCCCCTAATATTAAACATCGTGCAACTTTCTAATATCATCATCATCGTGTCATTTTAATTTTACCTCTATATTATTTAATGTCGTAAATTATAATTATGATGATGATATCAAATATAAAATATTTGTGTTTTATTATTTATGAATCTGCAAGTATGTTTAAAGAAGCATGGAATTTTTGTAATTTTTCATCAGAATATAATCGTTGTCGCTTAAAATGCAATATTTGAACATAATCAAATGATTTGATTCTGGAAAGAACACTATAAATTTCTCCTATGAAAAGACACACAATTAATAATGATAAAAGATTAATCAAATATCATGTATACACACTTATAAACATGTCTCTTTATTAATTACCCCTTTCAGTTATTTTTTTCAAATCCATTATAATTCGTTCAAAAATTTGGCCTCGGCTGTTATGAATATCAATCGCCCAAGAAGGAATAAGTGGTAACTAAAAAATATAAATATCATATTTTTTCACTAATTAAAAAAAAATAGGCATCATGATGATAATGATAATAATAGTAATAAATTTTCAAACCTGATGACGTGAAGCCAACACATTTCCTTGAATATCTTGTATAGTCCATTTCTCAGGATAAATAATTTTTTCAATTCCATTTGTAAATTTTACTATTGGTAACAATTCATCATCAGGCTTAGTATATAAATCCTCTCCATTATAACATGACATTTGATCTTTAATAGAATAAAATCCCAATATTACTCCTTTTCTACCACTAACTAGTTCTGGTTCTTTAAGATTTTTTATAAGCATTACTTGTGCTCCGCGCATCAATTTTAATTGTTTTTTAGCAAAAAAATTTTCATTTTCCACGAAACATTTTATATGTCGATCATTATCATCTCCCAACACATTGTCTACTGCTGTATATTCATATAATTTGTTTTGAATCATTCTTAGTCTTTTATTATTTATTGAATTTACTTTACCACTATCTGATAATCTAATAAAAGAATAATTAAAACTAAAGTTAAAATGGCATTAAAATGGCATTTATTATTTCATTTTAAATATTAAAAAAAAATCAACATACAATTCTGAAACTTTAATATCATCGTTAGGATATTTAGGAGTTTTCTGCAAATTTTTGATAATATTATTAGTTTTATGAGATAAAGTTTCGTCCCTTATATCATTTAATACCCGAGTCAATTCTAAACAATATAAATAATCAAATAAATTTATTAGGAAAAACAAAAAAATTTCCCAAAAATATAATTTATTATTTTACTTGGATCTTTATTTTCATATGTTTTAGTTAATCGAATACAATAATTCAGACATCTCCAGGATTCTGCTTCAAAGCAATATTTTGAAATTCTTTGTTTTTTAATTGATGATTGCCAAAAATCCCCTAATAAAACAAGCTGACATAATATATTGATATTATTCCTATTACTCTTATTATTGTTTTCAAAATAAAATATTTTGTTGCATTCAGACCTGTATACCACCAAATGGTTTATTATTTCTTCTAATCATTCTTGCAACAATTTCCAATTCATCAAATAATCTTCCATCAAGCATTGAAACTGTTATTATTATATATATAATTTCAAAAAACAAAAGTTATTTTCTTCTTCCTTGCTTCCCCTATATAAATAAAATCAAGTAAAACTTACTTTCATCAATAATCAATACTTTTGTTTCTTGTAATCTTTGTATTGATATATTTTGAATTCTCTTAAGCAATTTAAGTTTATCTTTTTGAAAATTTACTCCTACAAATGAATCCAAAGTTTCACCACATATTTCAATAGCTGATATATCAGTTGTTGATGTCACTGCGACATTTTTAGTTTCGTATTTTTCTACAAGTGCTTTAATCAACTGCCTTAACAAAAATCTTTTGCCAGTACCTAAAATATCATATAATTAATTAATTGATTTATTGATTAATTAATTAAATGACTAATAATAAAAATTGTTATTACCTTTTATACCAGTATAAAATACATTTAAACCTTCATTAACAATTAAATCGAAAATTTTTAATTGTCCGTTTGAAAGTTTTGAGAAATCTTCCTGTTTTCGTTTGGATAATGACAATAATAACAACAGTTATAGCAATATTTCTTATTGTTTATTAATAATAATAAATATTTAAATACTCGTGTACATTTGCAGATTTTACAAAAGTTGATGAATGATATTTCTCAAAATTATGAAAGAGAAGAAATTTGGAATTAGGTAAGCCTAATTAATAATAATTTTAAAATCGAAAAAAAATTTTGAAATTATATAAATTATATTAAAAATTAAAATTTATTTATTCGTTTATTTATTTTAAATCAAAAATAAAAAGTTCAAACCTTTTTTTCTAAAGTTTTTTAACAGATTATGTACAAACATTTTTATCTAAGATCCATCGGCTATTTTTGGAAGATTTTCATATTACCTGTACTGTTTACGTAATATTTAATAGTAATGTTAAATCGCGTAATGGTTGTCGTAATCGTGTAACATACAAAATATATAAATATCCTCGAAAAAAATTCTATTCGAAAAAAAATTTTGAAAAAAAAAATAAAAACCAAAAAATGTCACAGGTAGTAAAACTTTACATTTATGATTTGTCTCGTGGTTTTGCAAGGACATTTTCGATGGGTTTAGTAGGAAGACAAATAGGTTTGTATTATTTATATAAAAAAAAAATTTTTTTTTTATTCAACTCTTATATTCATTGTAATTATAATTAGATGGAATATTTCATACATCTGTCGAAATTTTTGGAAAAGAGTGGTATTTTGGCCAACAAGATCAAGGAATATTTAATACTTCTCCAGTAAGTTGAGATATATAATAAATTTTGAAAAAATTTTATTTGTTAATTAATTAAATGATTAAAGCTATTTTTTTTTATTTTATTAGGGGCAAACAATTCTAGGAGCCCCACAAGAGATTATTGATATGGGAGAAACTGAAATACCTGAAAATATATTCTTAGATTATGTTGACGAATTAAAGGAAAAATACTCAGCTAATAGTTATCATTTATTTGAAAGAAATTGTAATCATTTTTCAAATGATCTTTGCGAATTTTTAACAGGAAAATCAATTCCAAAATACATTACTGGTAAATTATATCTTTCTCTCTCTAATTATTGCTTATTTTATTACCAATAAACTATCTAACTAACTAATTTTCACATTAAAAGATTTACCAAACGATTTTTTGAGCACACCATTTGGTCAACAATTATATCCAATGTTTAACAATACCTACAGACAACCTTGACTTTTTTTTTGAAAATTCTAAATTAATTTATATTGTATTCATTATATTTTCTTAAAATAATTTTTATTAATAGATTATTAACTTTAATTTTAACCAATAAAAATTTAGATAATTTAACTAGCAGGATTGACATTGCCAGGATTAAACTAGTATCACTTAGCAATTATGTATTACAAATGTAATGCAGAATATAAAAAACCATATACCGATATATGAGGATTTTTTGATTTTTCAAATAGTAAAATGCGTAAAATTCAAACCCTTTATAACTTTTAAATCATCAAAGGTATATGCCGTTGGATTTCTCTAATATTAATTAGGTATTGTAACTAGTTTATGGCTAATTTACATGAATTTAAAAAAAAGCTCTCCAATTTTTGATTTTTTTATAACTCAAACATAATTTGGAGTCTTGTTTATGTGTCTTTGCTATCTGAAATTTTGCTAAAATCCAAACTCTTATAACTTTTGAACCATTAAAAATCATTGGATTCCTTTTAACATCTTTTTAAACAAAGCTCCTTTTTCATTTTTGTTAGCAATAATAAGGTTTTTAAACTAATTTTGTCTTAATCAACATGCAAATAAAAAAAAGCTTTTCATATTTTTATTTTAATTATCATGTACCTTTAATCGGAGTTTGAAAAAAAATTTTAAAAGCTGTAAGGATTATGTATATATTTGAAAAGTGATAAGCAAAAAATCTTCATATCAGTCAGTCCCAATGATTGGCATGGAAATGCTTTTCCTTCAATGTAAAGTGTGCATACCACAATTATACAGTTTATTGTCCTTTACAATTAGTTTCAGCCTCAAAGACTGTCTTTTTTAAAAGATCAAAAGACCAGTCTTTCCTAAGTTGGTTAAGAAGACTGGTTAAAAAGATCATTTAGAGACCAGTTAAAAGTCAGTCAGTTCGGTGATGAACTGCAGGCAGCCAAAATATATGGATCTTTCTAAAATGCCTTAAGTTATGTAATTGATGACCTGTCTATGAATGTGTGGATGCTATATAATGATCAATGGGGGGATGTCACAAAAATTGCTAATTGACTACCTTTGTTAGAAAGTTGTGTTATACTTCATATTATCATTTTTTATATTTATATTAAAAAAAAAAAGGTTGCTATGGAGGTGCCATGGATTTGAAGGTTTCTTGTGCAATGTATATATGGTAATAATAACAAATGGACATTTGGCTTAGTTATAGAATCTGTTATTATTATATTAATAATTTATAATGGGACATATAAATTGGGTTTAAATTCTCAGTCTGTTATATATATGACCTGTTTATAAAAGAAAGCCTACCATATATGATCTCATATTATGATTATTATTTTTAAAATAAAATATCCAATCTGGATATCATGTAGCATAACTTTTTTGTATTCAACCATGTTTTTGTTGACTTGAGAAAGGTACCATTCATCATATCCAAATACTATCAACTCTATTATTTCCTTCCTCTGCCAATCGCCATATCCTACTTAAACAAATCAAATTAAGCATCTGACATTTATATGTTCAATATATTCCTACATTTAATAAAGACTAACCAAGAGATATCTAAACTAGAGGCCTGCATGGGTCATCATAATTGAATGATTACCCAACCCAAACCCGTATAAATTTATAATTTGCAACCCAAACCCAACTTGTACACAAAAAATTATAAAAATTTCAACCCGAACCCAACTTGTACAGTGCGGATCATCTATACTCAAAAGTTAAAATTTTTGAAATATTATGTGATTCACACATTGAATTTTAAGAAACTTACCACCATTCAATTTAGCTTTAAAAGGGAGTCTATTAATCTAAAAAAATAATTTGTCTCAAATTTTCTTTTCATAGACTTTTTTAATTTGAAAGTTATGCTCAGAAGTGCAACAATAATTTTCGTGTTACAATATTTCAGTGTTGTGCAAATGGAACATTGTAACGCTATTGGAATGTTCCGATGTAGATCTTCAATTGATATTAACCAATAAAATTCGTGTGTATGACACTATAATTGAATTTCATTGGTTAACTTCATTGGAACCACATTTGGAATGTTCCAATTCCAATTGGAATTTATTAGAATGCTCCAATGAAATTTTATTGGAACCATAAATGGCACAACACTGCAATATTTTGAATCTCACGATCAAATTTGGTAATGATTTTCTTTTAATGTAATATGTTCGTTAAAGTTTTTTGTTGTAAAGAACTTTTATTTATTAATAAAAAAAGGAAATAAATAAATCAAATAAATCAAATGTATGTTGTAGAAAATATTCTATGAAAAAAAAGTTGTTACACGAAATTTACTTGGTCTCAATTTCTTAAATGTATAACAAAATTCAGAATTTTCAAATGCTAAGGTTCTGCCAATTTTCAGTTTAAGAAAAAACCAGCCAATAAGTTTTGAAGCTTGAGTCATTAACAATAAAACTTATCAGTTAAATTTTTTAAAATGATATTATTTTTTTTGTTTTAGTATTTTGAAGTTGACCAATTGTTACTATAAGCAATTAATGGTTATAGATGATCTGCACTGTAGTAAGATAATTGAGAATAAAAATGCAAGAATTGGTGAATTAGAACAAGAACTAAACCAAGAAAGGGAAAAAGCAGAGGCATCTAATAAGATAATTTCAGAAAAAGAATCATGAAACAAAAATCTCACAGAAGAAAACAAAATTGATTACATTTAGCAGGATTTACCTGCTTTACCTAAAAAGCAAAGTAAATTTAGACAATTTAAAAACTGAATTCCATCAATTGGTGGAAAGCAAAAAAAGCCAAATTCAAGAGTTAGTTGCTAGAATAGAGGTAAGTAGATAATTGATGAGAGAACTAACTTACACACTTTTAGGTTTAGAAAGGTCAAGTTGGAAAACATGTGATTTTTGTTCTAATCATTATGGAGAAGATAATAAATCTGTTAACCAAATAGTAACTTGCATTAAGGTAAATGGTAAATATGTTGCAGATGGTGTAGTTTGTGAAGATTGTAAAGAAAAATTTGAGATTGATGAATTGGAAAAATGTGAGAGATGTGGTAGGTTACAAACCAAACATTATATTGATATATGTGGTGATAAATATGTTTGTTTTTGTATTAGGTACAAAGAAGACATGGAAGAAAAGGAACTTCCACATTTACCCTATGAAAGTCAAGCAGTTTCTTATGAGTGACAAATAAATGGATTACGGGAAGAATTAAACACTGCTGAATGAACTATCTATGAGGAGAGGGAAGTTCATGAAGATTTCATGAAAACTTCAGAAAAGTGAAGTAAAAAACAGAAGCAAGAATTATTAGATAAGATAAAGGAGTTAGAAGAGAATGGTAACTATAAAGATGAAATTAAAAATTAAAAATGCAGTTAGAACAGTTAACTTCTCAACAGCAAGTTGCTCAAATTGAAGTTAAAAAATGATCTTGATTGAAAATAAGAAAGTAATTGAGGAAATTTCCCTCTGTATAAATTGAAATTCATTTCTAACTATCAAAGAAAACAATAGTTATTTTCCTTTTAAAGATTTTTGCTTTTTATTAGGTAATAATGCATCATCATAATGTTTTCTTTTTCCAACATTTATTATTTTTCTTGGTAAATTTCATAAGTAATCCTTTCTTTTTTTAGATAAGCTTCCAGCATTTGAGTATTGAAAATATAAGGAGCAATTTTTTTTGCCAATAAAAAAATTTTTCTTATATATGGGGCATACTGCAACAAAACCAGACAAAGTGAACATTGGTATTACTAACAATTTCAGGGATCAAAATTTAGTGATTATTAAAATCCCCATTTGTTATATTTGGGGGGTTTCTAGCAAAAGGTAGCTTAATTCGTGTTCCACGAATAAAGGAAAGAACTTAATTAATGCTGATCGGGGCAAAAAATTTTATTTTCATATTAAAATTAATTTGGTCGATTTTTTTGCCCCCACAAAAAGTCACACATTTATTATGTTACATATATTATCTTTTATATCCAACCATGTTAAACAAATGTGAAATATTATATTTACTTATGAAAATATGAGCTGTTAAATTTGTCAGTTTTCTGTTATTTAACCAGCAGTCCTGGATTATGGGTATAAAATTCATATTTTTTACATATATAAATTATTGGAAAACATAAGAATGTGTCAAAAAATAAATATAAAACATTTTAATATCAACTAAAAAATAACTTTAAAACTCAAAATGTTGAATTTCTCCATAAAATAATTTCGGGATGCAATTATAGTAAGCAAGAATGAATTTTTAGAATGTCATTGATTTTTATTTTGGTTTCTTCTAAAATTTTCTGTGCCATTGATTTTTTATGAGAAGCAGCAAAACGACTTATCCATCCTTCAATTGTTTTGATTGTTGGCAACTCTTTGGATGTAAGTTCACCAAGTTTTACATGCTCTTTCAATTCTTCTGACATATCTTTTGCAGAAAATTGTTGACTTCTATCCATATTACCAAAAAGAAAATATATTTGCAGGTATTCCTTGACTTTATCACTACCCCCTTTATTTCCATAAACTTGATTTTCCTTCAAGCCCATCCTATCACAAAATAATCAACTCGATTGGCAAAGTAACATAGTTAGTGTCAGTAAACTTGTTTTTTAAGGTGAGTTTCAAGGAAAAAATAATTTTATTTTTTAAATGATTCTTACTGGATTATATCATTATCAATTTTTCCCACATTTCACTAAGGTTTGATTCTGATTTATGTTTTTCTACATCCCTCTCATTCATATCATTTATAGCATCAGTCTCTTGTGGAATTGGATTTGTTTCCTCTACAAAAAAAGTATAACAATCTACAAATACAAATACATGTTCAGATATGTAAATTCATACCTGTAATTTTCATTTTTGTTTCTTTTTTTATTTTTTTTTTTTTAACGACGTAATCTTGTTGTGACATTTATTAATTTAAAGTTAGAAATATGTAAAACATATATATAAAAAAAATTTAAATTATTTACAATGCACAACTCCCCCCCTCCCCGTTTTACCATAGAATAGTATTCGTTTGGAGCGACTTGATGTTGTATTTTCATTTTTGTTTCATTCAATAGTTATAAGTTTTACATTAAAAAATTGGTCATTTGCTCATTTTTAAATTTTAGAAATGAGAAGCAGTTAAAGATATTAATATTAATATTAATATTAATTTTATTCCAAATTTTTATTATGCAGATCTTTTCACATTTTTGTTGTTTGAAACTTTAAAAGAAAATAACTCAGAATTTTATTATGCAAAGTGGATATTGTTTCTAAGCCAGAAATGTTCTGCATAAAAAATTACATATAAGAGTTGTATTAAATCAAAATTTCTTTCCGAGCTAAAAACAAACCGATCTGGCCCTCATATATATATTATGTAATTTTAGAGCCATTTCTATAAATTTAAATTAGAAAGATAGCCAGGAGCTCGGAGATTTATTTAGTAAAATTTAAAGTAGAAATTTAGATATAAAATATTGTGTTATTTCCACAGCGGCTCCAGATTATGGACACTAATAGATTTTACTATGATACTTATCCCCGAATTTTACTATGTTGATCCTTTCCTTCATTGATGGATCACGAATTAATTATTCATTTTATAAAATTGAAATGATAAAAATAAAATAGCTTATACAGTCAGTCTATAAAATCAATCTTATTATATATTTGTTATTATTATTGTTGTTCTGGGCCAATATTTACGAGATTTACATCAATATAATAAATAACAAATTATTATATGCGAATTTTTTAGTATCTTTCTTTATTATTATCATATATTCCAACACATGTAAATGTTGACAACAAAATTCAACCAAGAATATATCTTTTTGAAAACATGGAAATCATAAAAAGAAATTTCTATTAATTTATCAGCTACAATGTATAATAAATCGATTAACTTTAAACCTTGATAACTTTTTTTTTTCATAAAAAATTGAACAAATCTTTTATAGTTTTATTGTTTAAGTCTTCTATAATAAAGTTACAGAGAGCCTTTTGCTCTAGCCCATTTGGTTACAAAGTTTATCTATTAGCAATTTTTTTCAATGTCTTTGCTGTATACAAAAAAACTTTTTTTTATTTAGCAAGATAAAAAACTCACTGTAATCTAAGAGCTTGACATATTTACTATAATTTCTCTTAGCTTCATGTTTGTATCTCTTTTGAAGGCTCTAGTGCAATTTTATTTATATAATTTTTATATAGAAAGAAGTTTATTATTGATCTGCGTTATGTTAATTACCTAATTTTGATTTAATTAACGGCATCTCATGCCCCAATAAGTGATGGAGTGTCCAAGTGAAAATTCAGGTGAAACTAGTTTCATAATAAGCTATATATAATAAATATAATAAATACAAGATATCAATAAATACAAGATGTAAGATATCAATAAAAACATTAAATATTAATAAATATTGTAAAAATAAAAATAACTATTTTATTCGCCACAAGTCTAGTTAAGAGTTTCGCTTTCTGCAATGAATCTAACCTTATTATCGTCAACTTCGACTTTGACTTTTTATTTAAAGAAATAATTTTTATTGATTAATTAATAATGAATGTTGGTGATATTTCCAAATGAAAAGAAAAATTACCATTTCTACCAACAACTTGCATGACACGGCAACTTTTTTGAAATACTGCCAAAGGTAATAATATGACAGCATCATAATCTCTCATCTCGAAATGGTACCTTTCTTTGTGTGTTTTAAAATCTTTCATATCAACAAATCCACTATGAAGTGACAATAACTACCATTCTCTTTAATGGTTAAGCTAGCTCTTTTAAAAAAAATCAAATCAATTCGCGTCTGTCCCCCCAAAAAAATTTTTGTACAACAATACTAATACTAATACTAATAGGTGCAAAAAATTTTTTTCATTCAAACCCAAAATCGTTGTTATTTTTTGATTCAAAGATAAAGATAATTAGGGTAAAAATTATTTAGTTTGCTGATATTCCTTTCTATATCAACAACATGCAAGTATCTGGATGCACTTTTTATCAGGACAAAGTACTTTGGTAATTAAAAATCGTTAATTTGTCTATTTTCTACCGACATAAATTTTATTATAAAATATACAAAAAATGCATTTGGATACTTTTTTCCAGAGGACGTGATCTTTATTCTAGACAGTGACCAATATTTTGACATATGTAATTTCTTTAGTATACAAATTTTTGAGGAAGTTGTAATATGTCAGTAATAGTAATGGATATAGATATAGTGATAAGCACAATAGTAAAGGAGACGGTAAAATTTTTTTTCAATGAACGTCGTCATATGTGTCATATGTACGTGAAAGAGTTACACGAAATAAAATGGTTTTATTTTCACGAATTCACTACGCATTATTATTAGATAACAAATAATTTCTGCATAATTTTTTTTTAAAAAATGGAGGCTGAAAGTGGTTCAACAAAAAATGAGACAAAATCAATTATTGAGGCAGCAGGTTTTGCTTTCAATCAAGCAAAAAACCAAGATCATTTGTTATCAAAAAGTCGTTCTGAAGTGGTTTATAAAAAAGATCAAATTTCTTTTCCAAAGCCAAGAGTTAGAGCAAATTCTATCCTCGAATTTAATTCGGAATTTTCTCCACAGTATCAGCCACAACAATATCATCAAAAGTTTCGAAGTCAAACACAACCTCCTTCCCAATTTCATCATCAATATCAACAGCCTCAATATCAACAGCTTCAATATCAGCATCCTCAATATCAGCATAATGAAGGTTACTATAATAATAATTCACAATATAACCAAATCAATTCTGGATTTGCTACCAAATCATCAAATGCTTCTCGTAGAGCTTGGTCTGATATTACATATATCCCACATGATACTCGTACTGAATTAACAAATTATAGTGACCCAGGTCCTCAAGTATACAATCCACAAACATTTAACTTTCCTCGTCATGTACCAACTGCCACAATCTATGAAAATAACCACAATTATTATCCCAATCAACCTTCTTTATATGGCGAAGCCAGATCACCTAAGCCTAGAATTGCAGCTAGTGCTATGGTGGATATTGGTGATAATGTAGCACAACCAATAACAACTACAACTGTTAAACCAAGAAAAGTGGCACTTTCAGCACAATTAAATGATACTAACAACTTTACAGATCAAGATTACCCTGACTCAAGAAATGACGGTGATGATTATGGAGAGGACAATGATGAGGTTGACAATGATGGTGATGATGCTGATAAATATAATGGTGGTGATGCTGTATCTAATGATAATGACAATGATCAGGCTGAGCTCGATGAATTAATGAAGTTATCATCTGATCCAAAAGTTCAAAGAAAAGTAATATATTATATATATATATACATATTATTATCATTGTTATTATTAAAATTATTTGGGTAATTTAAATTCTAATATATATTATAGTTTCTTGATCTTCGAATTTCTAATAAATCACTCCTAACACTCAATGTTACACTTGAATCTACTGTCAAAGAACAATCTGATAAACTTGCAACAATTCCATCATTTGAAGCTATGATGGAAACACAACAAAAACAATTAGAACATCTTAATAAAGTTGAAGAGTTGATTAATACATTATCAAATAAAATGACTGAACAAGATGATGAAATAAAGGTTATAAAAAGCCAAATCATAGAGAAATCGTAAGTTTAATTTACATTTTATTTAATGATTTAATGGTTTATATATTATATTAACTTATATTTTGTTCAAAGAGATGAAAAAGGAAAGGTAAATTATATGGATATCTATGATTATAAATTTTTTTTTATGATCCTTTATATATAAAATAAATTTTTATAATATTTATTCATCAAACATATATAAAAGACACAAAGAGCTCTATTCTATGATCCGAAATCTCTTCCATTAAAATCTCTTCCAAATATTATTTTTGACAGAGGTGAGTTTTTCCTGACTTCATTTCAATAATATAATATGATAATTACATATTAAAGTATTCCTTTTACTACATTTATATGAATAATAAATAGTATATGATGACGTCACAATCCTCTTTTCAGTGGTGACTTCTTTACTATATACTGTTTATATTTTTCCTGTTATTGTTATGGCAAAAACTGCTCAACAACTAGTTGATAAATCCAGAGACAAGGTTCAAAAAACAGAAATAGCAAGTTAAAATCATAAATTAAGCATATTGTATATTGTATGTAATTAACTATTTATTATTTGATTTTAAAGAATATCTTAAATTCTGTATGAATATATATATATATGGGTGTCTAAACTAAATTATTTAGACATTAGACAAATACTATTTTGACTTTAGACAATCCCAAAAACAATTTAGACGCCCATATATAAATATATACCATAATATACTTTCTAACAACTACTGTAGTAAATAAAAAACTTTTTTAATTAACTTGTACACAAAAACTATTAAAGTTGGCAATAGTAGTTTTACAATTAACATGTTTGAGCAGTTACAAAAATATAAGGATCATGAAGAGCCATTTGACCTTGATATTGTTTGCTGTTCAGAAGACCCTAGAAGCTGATGGAATCTTATTGACACAGATTCACAACCAGATACTCTTCCAACATTAGCATGTCATCTGTTTTCAATATGCCCAAATTCTACAAGTTGTGAATGTGTATTTTCTATGCTTGGATGGCTGTTTCATAAATGTCATTTGAATCTCAATTTACAATGACTAGAATCCATGTCTAAAAATGATCATGTACTGGAAATCCAATGCAAAGACAGAACTTGGATTTTATGGATTAAATAATAAGAAGAAAACATGTCTAAGTGATGCTGAAATAAATATATCTATTTCAGAAACATTTTCTGAAATAGATGATAATGACAATGAAAGTGAAGGTGAAGGTGAAGGCGAGACTTCCTTTCATAAATAGTGAAACAATACCTGAAGATATTTGTATCTTTTTGATTGAAAATGTATGGATTGAAAAATTTGTGGACCTGTTGCATAATTTAATAATCAAGGAAATTGCAATATCACAGAAGATGTATTAGATGATATTATGACAATAGTGATATTGATGAATATGAAAATGTTAATATAACCGATGAGGATGAAAAAGGAATTTTAGATTACAATATAGATGATTTATTAGGTGAATTTGTTAGTGAAGAGGTGTAAATATTTTTTTTTCAAAATTCATACATAAATTTATGTATATACATATGTGTGTGTATATATAAAGCATTTTAATAGAAAACAATATAGATTTTTGGGATAAATTTAATTTGTTTTTGTGTAAATATTTTTATTATTTTTATTTTTTTTTGCATTGTTTAATTAATAATTAATAATTATTATCAATGTGTTTAGAATAAAATAAAAATATTATTGATTTTATATATATTTGGTTTTTTTTTTGGATTATTTAATAATCCAACTAATTTACAATTGTGCAGTACAATTTTTACATATTATATAATTAAATTTGGTAGATGGCAGTTTTGGCATTTCAGCAGTTTTGATATTTTGGGCATTTTTGACATTTTTGACATTCTTGACATTCTTATTTTGGGCAGTTTGGGCAATTTTGATATTTCAACAGGTTTGGATTTTGACATTTTTGGCATTTTCGACATTTTTGACATTTTGACACTATGTATGAGGTTTTACCTTTCAGCATCAGGTTAAACAGATTTTGACAGGCAACCTTAGCTCTCACACATCCCATAACTGTGAAAAATTTTTTCACAGGTGAGGATGCCCTATGCTGGAAGGCTTTTCAACCCTATAAAAAATTGGCATGGAAATGTATGGGAAAATGTATGGAAAACTGTATGGAATTTTACCTGAAATTCGCATTTTTCCATACAAATTCCATGCATTTTCCCATAAATTTCCATGCCAAATTTTTTATAGGGCAAGGTGGGCAAAAAACTTCTAAATGTTTACATGGCATTCCTTACATTGCAATTCTTCAACAGAGTTGTGACTTCTTGATTGCAGAGCCAGTCACTTTTACTTTTCAGCTAACATATCTGCAAGCATTCTCTGGTGAAGAAAGATTAGGTGGGATTCACAGAAGTGTCCTTGACATTGATGCAATCTTTAATAGACTCCAGGACCACATCCCCCCTGAAAATTTAATTGCATTGTTGTATAATTGGGGCACACTAGTCAGATTAGCCTTATGAACATGAGAAATGTGTGAGAATGACTGTAAGTATTCAAGGTAGTATGTGTGCTTGATGTCTACCAATTGTATGATAATCAAATGCTACATATCAATTGTTTCTTCTGAGACAGTTGTGTTACCTTGACATCTTCTTGTAATTATATATTTAATATTAATAATATTATTAATGATTATGCAAAACAAAATACAAGAATCTTATAATTACCCAAGACACTACAAGTTCTGCTCCATGGTTTGTTTTTTCAACATTTATATAAAATAAAAGGCACGTGTCAAGACATTTATAAATCAACCAATAACTAAAAAATACAAATAAAAAAATTGTAGATCTCTTGCTATTAATAAACAACAAGTTGTATTCTTATAATAACCATACCAAACAACATCACTTGCATTTGTTTCCAAAAAAAATAACAAAAGCGGTTCCTTGTATAACCATACACATAGATTGTGTTTATGTATCACAAGATTTTTTTTTATATAAATTCATTACTTTTTAAAAAAATACTTATATTTAAAATTTTTGTGGAGAGTCTGCACAGTTTATAGGGTTGTACACACGAATTTTATACACTGTCTATCTGTAGAATAACTATAGTAATGATAAAACTAGCAGTAAGTATATTATTAGTAGCATCATTATATTTAATATCAAATTTAATGATTTCTAAAATAATTGACCAATTTAGTTTTGAATAAAAGAAACTCTAAAAATATATGATCTAATAAAAAAAACAACAAAAATAAACTACAAGCACATTTCTCAATACCAGAAGAACTATTCAGATGAAACCAAATTATTATCAGAAAAATATGAATGATTTTAAATGTTTATTAAAAACTCATTATCAACTGTCAGTATATACCAGGGTTGGCAAATGTATGGTCCATTGGTGGTCTATTGGTGATCCATTGGTTCCATCAGTGTAGCATTTTAGCCATATTTAGTAATTTATTAATGACAATGGACTGGTACAAAGTCCATCAGCTCTTAATGGGCCAGTCAATTTGCCAACTCTGGTATATACTACTTTAATTAATAACTACATTAGTATCTTTAATTAATTTGGTAGTTATAAAAATTTTATTATTTTATATACAGTGAACCCTCCATAAGTGCACCCCCCTTGGGAATGGATGAGAGCGTGCATTTATGGAGGGATGCATTTATAGAGAGGAAGAATTTTATTGGTTACACGTGGTACTAATAAAAATTATTGTTGTACAATTTTAAATATTTTTTTAATTACTATTATTATTAGATATTAAATATTATTGTTGAATAAAAAATTGTTTCATTGTGGTTTGCTTCATTGAATTTTTTTTTTAAATCAATGTACCACTCAAGGGCATTAATTTGTCCTAATTGTTCTTAGAATTTTCTTATTTTATTTTTGATTACTCTTATTAAACATAAATTTTTTAAAAAAATTCGTGATCTTCATATATATAATTTTCTCCATTTGTATTATTATTATTATTATTCTAATAACTCTTTGTCAATTAAAAAGAAAGAATTAATAAACATTCATTTAATCCTTTATAAGCAACAGTAGCTTACCCTTTATTTTCCATTACTAATATTAAATAACGTTTGAATTAATTAATGTAACACGAATTTATTTAGGAAATAAATTACATGAAAGTCACGGGCGTGCATTTAGATAGGGTGGTTTTATATGAACGGGATGGGGGAAGACCGCGCAATGCAGAGTATGGAGGATGTGCATTTATCTTTAATTCCCGAGGTTGGGAATGAGACATAGCATGAATGCATTTATGGAGGGATGCATTTATAGAGGGTGCACTTATGGAGGGTTCACTGTATCACATGAAAAAATAGTTGGTAATAATTGCCAAAAATAACTTTGGCTAGTTTGCTTTTACTAGGCTTGTAATTTTAATAATGTTCATATTAATATTAATATTCACTTAGTCTGTTGTGTAGCAGTATGTCCATATAATAAATTTTTTTATGTTTGATGATTTTAAATAATAATAATACTTAATAAAATACTTAATATAATACAAAAAAATCAAAATGCTAATTAATATCAATTATTTACTGAAAAAACTAGTGATGTGTATTTGTATTGAATTTTGAATGCTATATGATTCTATTTTTTTCCCAATGATTTTAAAGCTTTTAATTCATTATAATCTGCTTGTATATTATTTTGTCCAAGAAAAATAAAAGCAGTTTCAAAAGCTTTTACAGCTTTATTTATCGAACATTAGGAATAGTTGTACTACTTACAATTCAATTTCCTCAAAAGAATTAAGAATTTCCTCTTCAGTTGACATTTCATTATTCTTATAATTATCAATTGATATACAGTGCATGAAAAAGTTTTCAGAATGTAATTTTTATTTATTGTGAAATGAAAAAAAGCTAACAGCACATGAAAATTTATAGATATGCTCTTTACGATTTGATAAATAAGTTTACTTAAAACTACTTAGTAGCTTACCTTATTATCATTTTTCTCAATCACTTCATTTAACCTTGACAGCACATTATAGATTAAATTAACAAAAATTTTTTTGTTGATCCACTCCCCATTCTTTCTGAATTATTTTACAAAAACTTTCTGCAATAACTGACTTTTTTAAATTAACACTTAATTGGCTTGCTCTTCAACATGTCCCTTAAAAATTTGCCACAAATTCTCAATTGGATTGAGATCTGGGCTATTTGATGGCCAATCCAACATTTTTGACAGTGTTGTGCAAGAAGTTTTTAGTACCCCTGGCTGTATGCTTAGGGTCGTTATCTTGTTGAAAGATTCAATGTTTTCCCATGACATTGTTTGCATTGTCAAGTAGATTTTCAGTTAAAATCTTTCAAAAGAAAGTTGTGTTTATTTAAAACACATTTTATTATGAAAATTTTTTTCATGCACTGTATATTCTTCTGTTGTTAATGCTGAACTGAAATTTAATCTATCAATTAAATTATCAACATCATTTTTTTGATCATTTATAATATTTTGTATTAATGTTATTGCATCTCCAACTTGTTCTTCATAATCTAAAGGAATAATACCAATTTTTATCCAGCAATTATTAACAGCGATTGATGTAACATTTTTCCAGGCTTCTGAGGCAAAATTTATTGCTTTTTTAATCATTTTGTTTCTATTAAAAACTTTAATCTTCTTGCAATAAATAATTTCTATAAATACATATAAATGATTTAATATATTTGATATAAATAATTTAATAAATAATTTAATAATTTGAAATATATACCTTAAAAGTATGAATTATCCCTGCATCACATAGTTGCAAGTGTGCAGTTGTGTTTGAGGAAAATGATGAATTATTACATTCTTAACTCGAAATTATCTGCTAAAATGTGTTGATGCATGCAGTGAATTAATATTAATATTAATATTACAATTAATGAAATCAAGGAGCAAAAACAAAAATCTGTTGGAACGAGGGTTTGACTGTATTGTTTTTGAAGCTTGAGGGGAAAATATCTTATGCAAAATGGGTATGGCTTCTAAGTCAAAATTTTCTATGTGAGGAGTTACATACAGAAATTATGTTAAATCAAAATTGCTTTTTTCACAACATGGTCCATTCTATTGAAAACTCCCATATGACAATTTTTAGTTAAAAAACCTGTAAATGTATCTGTAATTTGTAATTCTGTAATTCTGTAATTTTATTATTGTTATTCCTGTATATACAGTGTTTAGAACTTTTGCACATTTGAAGTTTACAGAATGATTTACATATTACAGAGACTTGCGGATTTTGACACTTGGTTGTAAATAGTATGACAATTCCAGTTGCTAGATACAACTTCTGTAAATCAGATTTACAAATGGCATCACTGGAGCTAACAAATTATAAGTTTAAATTTATAGTAGAAATATAAATAAAATCATTTTAATTCATGAAGCTTCAAAAATCCAAATTGCATAAAAAAGGAAAAATACACTACCCTGATTTCGATTATTTATTTTCTTAGAATAATATTTCTTGTGTTCCATTTGTATATGTTCAATTGGACAAATGGTCCAACACTTGGACTCAAAGCCATTTTAAGTATTGCCTGTTGTATAATATTGCTGCTTCTGGAACAGATCACATATTTTTACTATATAGACTTTTTATATCATTATAGCCACAAGGTGTTCCAGAGGCTAATTTCAACATAATTAAGTTTTATACCATAGTATACTAAATTTTTTTCTAGCCGCATAGAAATGCGGTGTGAAACATGTTCCAGGCCACATCAAAGGAACAAAAATTCGTCATAGTATTTACTGTATAAACATATATATGAACAAATCTCTGTAATCATTTTTTGTGAGCATAGCAAGAAAGTCAGCAGAACTAAGTGGAGCATAAGGAAAACAAGGTACAGAGAACAAAGTGAAAATAAAAGAAGTATGCAAGGTATTAAGAAAACAAAATTCAGTACACAAATAGACATAGAACAAAGTGAAAACAATCTGCATAGCAAAGCAGAGTAGTTTATATCAAAACAAGAAAACCAATAAATCAATAAAAATTTTCAAATTAAACATTTCTACAATCTATATAAAGTAAACCAAAAATTTTTGAATATATTGACCAAGCATTTAACTATATTAGCAATGCACTAAAATCCCTTGATGATAGTAGAGCCCCATTTGAAACTGGTGATCTAGTAGAGGCCAAAGAAGAAATCAAGTATGTAGAGGTGAAAACACCAGAGTTAACTACTCCAAAGAGGCCAAGAGCTAAAGCTATTTCATCTGGGAAATATGCTAAAAATAAGGGGACACAATATCCCAAAATACAATGAATTGAAGTATTGTAATTATAACCCTGAGAGCAAGTATTATCAGGGTTGGGGATCGTACATGCACACATGCACATATCGTATGTATGAGCTTAAAATTTTTTTAGTACATTGTACGAACATATCATGTGATTTATGATAATTTTTATTGGTTGATCAAATGTAATATATATGTGTAACTTTCGTCACAACGAACTATAATAATAATCAAACTCTTGTCATAACGGATTTTTAAAATTTTTTGCTTCGCATATCACATGTAAAAATATATAAAAATCTGCTGTGGCAAGATTAGTATTAGTATTTAGTAATCTTGCCACAACGGATTTTAAATAAAATTTGTTTATGTGTACCGTTCATCCGCTGTGTCAAGGTTTGACTATATTGTGGAATTAACTACGTATATGATTGAAGATATTTAATACTAATATTAATTATTTTAAATTGATAATATAATTAACAAGAATGTAAAGATTTTATTATAAATAAATAGAAAACAAAATTTAGGAATCACGGTAATAATAATACTACTAATATTACTAACAATAATGCACCCAGAATAATGTAAGTATAATATGATAATCAGGGTTTTTCTGGTAACGAAGTAGTATTACGATCTGCCACGACCTTTAATTATAGTAATCGTAATAGTAATAGGACTGACAGTATAATATTATTATAAAATAATATTTTATCACCATAGAAAATCATCGTACGTTCGTACAACGAAATTGCACAACACTGACTATAATAATAACGTATATAATACTACTACATAATAACAAGGGATTTAAATAAGCATATATAACATGATAATCAGTTTTTTTCTGATAATGAAATAGTATTACGACCCCAGTTACAACATCTGGTAATCCATTAATTATATAATAGTGTTATCGGCTTAATAATAATATTATTATTATAGGATTTTACAAAGTAATATTTTGCCACCGCAGAAAATCATCGTTCCTGATACATCGTACATTCGTACATTCGTACATTCGTACGTACGTACATATGTAAAATTTCCTCGTACAGGTGTACGACCACAACGAAACTGTACGAACTCAATGGTACGAAGTCAGTCGTACGTATGTACGTACGTACGTACATACGAAGATTCTTCTCGTACAGCGAAATTGCACAACACTGGTATTATACCACTGCCTAAGATTAATATTTTTATAAAGAAATAGAAGAAATCGAAGCTGAAAGCACCCAAGGTAACCAGACAAAGGAATGGGTCGGTGAGCACAAAGCTGAGATATATAAAAAGGATGAAAGTGGTAAGCATCATGCTCACCCAAAATATGATATGATCTGGTTTACAAAAACCAAATATAATACTTTAAGGGAATTATATCGAGCCAGAGAATATGAGAAAGAAAGGAAGTCAGGTTTGTATATTGATGCAGAAATATGGAAGCATATAGATATGCAGTATCCAAAAAACTTGGGATTGAACTTGAAAACAATGAAATTTAAATTAAGATTCATTTTCAGATGGTTTTTTAACTAATTCATATTTCCATATCAAAAGATATATAGAAGGACTCAGTCTGAGGACATGGTGTATTGATTATAGAAAGAACTTTTTCAATCTTTTTTTGCATCAATCCAAAGATAAATTGATCTCTTATATTGAAATATTTTAATAATCTCTCATATAAGGCTCCGAATCGAATCGAATTTTAAAGTGATCGAATCGAATCAAACCGGATTCCTAAATTTTTCTTAACATTAATGTCATATTAAATACAGTGAATCTCAATGTAGTGTGCCTCAATTTAATGGATAATAACAGATTGAGGTTTAATAATAACAACAACAATAAAATTTTTCTCAATATAACGGATTTCTTGATAAAGTCACAACGGATATAATAATAAGAAAAATTTATATGTTTTTATACGTGAAGCAAAAATTTTAAAAATCCTTTATGACAAGAGTTTAATTATTATTATTATTATAGTCCGCTGTTACAAAGTTTGGATATAATAATAACGGGTTTTTGGAAAAAATTTTCTAAATTTTTAATTGATAAAGGATATTATTTAGTGATTGTAGCCGAAACTGTTTTTGAAAAAAGGTAGTTTCGTCCAATAAGTATCTAAATCAATCTACTTTATTTTAAAAACTCACAATTTCAGCCATTAAAATTAGTTTCTTCAAAGTTTAGGCTAATTAATTTCGGAAATTTTCGTTCCACTAAGCGTAGTTTCGGCCACCATCACTAGTTCGAATCGAGTTGAGTTGAATCAGTTCAAATCAAATTATATATATATTCGAATCAAATCAAATCAAATCAAATCAAATTGATTCGAATCGGGTTCGAATTTCATTGATTCGTTCGGAGCTTTATTCGTCAGTGATAGGTCTTTTAAAAGTCAATTGCAAGGTCGTTTCAAATTTTCATCGTTTGATTTAGTTTCTCTTTCTCTAACGCGGACTTAATTGGAATGGTTATAGTGATGCTAGTAATTATATTTAAAGGCTAACACTGTATGCAAATGGAATAACCATTTATATCGTAGCTCATTGTAGTTTAATTTATGCACGCGACTAATTCACATGACCGATAACATTACAAAATTGATGATCTTTTCGATTTTAAATTAATTAAAATAACAATATAAAAAAGTTTATTTATGTCATTCATCAACAAATATATGTATATATTTATTATTATATATATAACAAGATGCTAAGTAAAAATGTCTTTTATTATTAATAATAACCAAGTCCTCTCATTTTTTTCTTTTTCAAATTAAAAAAAAAATAATAATTAAAATTTATTAAAAATAATAAAAATAAGTTTCTTTTCTGAAAAACCATGTCTAATAAAATTAATAATAATAATGATTACTTTGCAACACTTAAAATTCTTCTTGTTGGCAACTCAAACGTAGGAAAATCGTCTCTTCTATTAAGATTTACTGATGACACATTCTTACCACATGATGAAGTATCAGCAACAATAGGTAATTATAAAACAAATTAAACAAAAAATTATTTATTAATCAAATATATATAAGATACTTAAATGATTATACAATAGGGGTAGATTTTAAAGTACATGAAATGGTTGTAGACAGAAAGAAATATAAATTAACAATTTGGGTACTTGTTTTATTAAAATATTATGAAGTAGAATTCGATTGTTTTGTCAAGAAGATTTTATTTTTCTATGTTTAAATGACAATTATATTATTAATATTAATTTTAGGATACTGCAGGTCAGGAACGTTTTAGAACATTAACATCTTCATATTATCGTGGTGCTCAAGGTGTTATATTTGGTATGTGATAGATAATAAAGTGTATATATATATGTTATATTTGTGTGCATGATTTTAATTATTTAATGACATTAATATTTGCTTTTTTTCTAGTATATGATGTATCAATTCGTGAGACATTTGATCAATTGGATAATTGGTTTAATGAATTAAATACCTATTGTTCAAATAAAAATATAGCAAAAATTATAATTGGTAATAAAATAGATAAGGCAAAAATAGTTAAGTGACCAATTATTAATCATTACTTTGATTATGTGTGATAATTTAATTTATTTTAATATTTTGTATTGAATTTTGAATTATGATTTTAGGGAACTGAAAGAGCAATTTCACGTAAAGAAGGTGAAGCATATGCAAGAAAATTACAAACTTTATATACAGAATGTAGTGCTAAAACAAAATATGGTGTGGAAGAAGCATTTGCTGAACTTGTTAGAAAGGTTGTTATAATTATAATTATTATTGATTACATAGAATAGTTATAATTAATCATTTTTATATTATCATACCAATAATTATTTTTTAGATTATTGAAGATCCAACTATATGGCAGAAAAAAATTGACAAAACAATTAATAATAATGTTAATATATTTTCACAGGACAAACAAAAATCAAATAATGATGGATTTTGTTCATGCTAAATTTTTTTGGGCTTATTCGATTTTTTTTTAAAAAAGAAAAAATGATTATATAGCATTATAATACTTTCTACTTTTATTTATATATTAATTTATCATTGTTATCATTATCATTATCAACAATCACATATTCATAATCACACATTCTTACCTACTTTTTTATAAAGTAGGATTGTGAAGATTACACACAAAGAGATCATAGCATTATAAGACAACATCCAAAGAATTTTTTTTTTTTGCAGGTTTTCCTATATATATATATATATATTCATCATATTCTATCTCATTATTAATTTGTTATTTTTTTGAATTAGAAGGGAAAGGGGAAAAGGGAAAAGGACATTTTTATTTTTATTCTTGTAATTAATTAATTAATTTTGATTTTCTGTATTATTTATATAATAATAATTATTATTGCATTATATATAATAAAATAATATATACAGTATAATAATAGTAAAAATAAAAAACAAAAAAGATATTTATTTATTTAATAATATATTGATACAAAATTTTTTTTATATCATTATTAGGCTCAATACCATTTTCTAACATTTCATCATAAATTTTTTTTGCTTTTTCATTTTCTCTAATACTAATATAGCCTTTAATTAAAGATGCGTAAGTATGTATATTTGGCTTTACATTACATGATTTCATTAAGTTAAAGATTTTTAAAGAATTTTCTAATTTACCCAAATTAGCAAAACCCTCTATTAATTTTGTGAATGTTATAGTATTTGGTTTGATTTTGTATTTTAACATCGCCTGAAATATTTCTAATGATTTTTGCATATCACCAAATCTTAATGAAAATATTGATATAAACATGGTGAATGAACAAACATCAGTTTTTGAATCAATGTCTTTATGTGCTAATGCTGAATTGTCATTGGTGTTATTGTATTTATTTTTAAAATTTAATTTTATGAAATTTTTATATAATTCATATACAGTATCAACATTATGAATATTTTTAATTAAATCTAAACGATATATTGCATCTTTAATTTTCTGAGGAGTTCTTGGAAAAAGATAATTATCATCATTGATATGTTTTAACACTTTATAAGTTGCTCTTTCAGGTTTAATTCCTTCTTTAATCATCTGATACCAAACTTGCTCAGCTTTTTCTAAATTTTTTGTTTTAACTAATGCTTTGATTAAACTTGTATAAGTTTTAACATTTGGTTTAATGTTATATTTATTTGTCATTATATTAAAATATTCTAAGGCCTTTTCTAGCTCTCCTGACATACCAAATCCTTCAATTAATATTGTGAATGTTACAACATTTGGCGAAATATTATATTTTAACATTGTTTCATATACTTTTATTGCCATGGGCATGTTTTCATATCTATATGCAAATTCTGTAATAAATATTGTAAATATATGTGCATCTGGTATTAATTTTACTATTTTATTATTATTTTTTAATTTGACTTTTACTATTGTAACTTCTTTTTGTTGATTGGTTTCTATTTTCTTTAAAAAATCTAGATATATTTTATATGATGAATTGAAATCTTTGGATTGTTTTAATTTAAATTGTAACAGAATGGTTAAAAATCTTATATTTGGTACTATGTTTATATTATATTTATTAATATTACTATCACTACTGCTGCTGCTATTAATAATATTATTATTATCAATTTCTTCCTTAAATACTTGATTGTAAATTTCATTTTGTTGTTTTATATTAAATATTTTAAATGCTGATGTTCTATTAAATATTTGATTAATATCTTTCTTTTGTCTAACCAATGAAATAAACAAATCTAATGCTTTATCTGTTAATCCAAATTTTAAATAACTATTTATTAAAATTGAATAAGTATAAATATTAGGTTTTAATAAATCATTTTTTGTTTTTCTTGATAATTTGTTTGATGATGGTGATGGTGGTGGTGATGGTGGTGATGGTGATGAAATAATTTCATTGTAAAGTTTATCTATACCTTCAATATCATTTTTTAACGATAGATTGTTTAATATTGTATTATATATTGTTATATTTGGATTAATATCCAAATGTTTCATATATTTAAATATTTCTTCTACGTCTTCAATTGAATTATTTTTTAAATATCCATTCAGTAATGAATTAAATCTTTTTATGGTTGGTCTTAACTTCGCTGTCATCTTTGTTGGAATTAATATTAATAATAATTTTATATTATAATTACACCAAAATCACGTGAATTCCATTTTTTGGAAAGACCGCGTGTGACTAAGGATTTGTGCAAAAATCCGTGTAATTAAAAATATCAAATCATGGCTGAAACAGTCTTTAATATTATTTTATTGCTATTTATATTTTATCAAATGGCTCCCAATATTATCCAAGAAAATATTGTTTGGAATTAGGTATTTTGAAACTTAGCCAATCATGTTTCTTTAACAATACTATCTTCATTTTTGATTTTATTATTGTCTTGACTTCATTCTTATACTTTGCATAATTTATTTGCAAACAAAAAAATAAAAATAAAAATGTTAACCCAAATAGATCTTAGTCTGAAAAAGAAAAACTCCAACTCTAAAAAAAATAAAATGCCTGAAAAGAGTTAATATTTCAATTCGAACAATAGAACTTATTGAATCATCAGATGATGAATTAAATAAATAGTGATGAAATTGGTGAATTACAACAAATAAAAGAAAGATCACATTATAGAATAAAAGTTGGTTCAATAGATATATATTAATTTTTTGTAAACTTTGTAGAAACAGAGATGGAATGTCAAAATTTTCAAGAGGTACAGATGCTTTTAGGTTAGATAAAATCAAAGAACATTCAAACATCAATGAGCATAAAGAATCACAATCAATAACTTGATTCAGATACTAAGCAATCAGATGGAGAAAAATTGTCAATTTTTTGGACCCTTTAAGAAAACCAGTGTTAGCTTTAGAGTCAAGATCAGTAACACTTTTCAACTGTTTTTTAAACTTGGTATGATTGGCAGCAGTTTTAAAAAAATTACCAAAATCATTCAACCAAACATTCTGTAATCATTGTTTTAAAGTAATGAATGAAAGATCCAAAGAGTTTGATGATGACAAGTACCTTACATGCTTTTTTTAGATCCCCATTTTAGGAATATACCTCTCAAAAAAGGAGCATATGCAAAGGTTGTCAAATGTGCAATGACAATTGGGAAAAGGTTAGAATTTGACCTCCATGAGTCAAAAATCTTGTGTGTGCAGTTACGAAAATATAAGGATCATGAAGAGCCATTTGACCTTGATATTGTTTGCTGTTCAGAAGACCCTAGAAGCTGGTGGAATCTTATTGACACAGATTCACAACCAGATACTTTTCCAACATTAACATGTCATCTGTTTTCAATATGCCCAATTTCTGCAAGTTGTGAATGTGGATTTTCTATGCTTGGATGGCTGTTTCATAAATGTCATTTGAATCTCAATTTACAATGACTAGAATCCATGTCTAAAATGATCATGTACTGGAAATCCAATGCAAAGACAGAACTTGGATTTTATGAATTAAATAATAAGAAGAAACATGTCTAAGTGATGCTGAAATAGATATATCTATTTCAGAAACATTTGCTGAAACAGATGATAATGACAATGAAGGTGAAGGCGAGATTTCCTTTTTCATAAATAGTGATAATTGTATCATTTTGATTGAAAGTGTATGGATTGAAAAATTCGTGGACCCGTTACATAATTTAATAATCAAGGAAATTGCAATATCCAGAAGATGTATTGGATGATATTATGACAATAGTGATATTGATGAATATGAAAATGTCAATATGACCAATAAGGAATTTTAGATTACAATATAGATGATTTATTAGGTGAATTTGTTAGTAAAGAGGTGTAAATATAATTTTTTTTTTCAAAATTCACCTTCATTATACATAAATTTATGTATATATATGTATGTATATGTATATATATATATATATATATAGCATTTTAATAGAAAATAATGTGACTAGATTTTTGAGGTAAATATTTTTATTTTTTTGCATTGTTTAATTAATAATTATTATCAATGTGTTTAGAATAAAAAATATATATATGTTTTTTTTTGGGTTATTTAATAATCTAATTAATTTACAATTGTGCAATACAATTTTTACATATTATATAATTAAATCGGTAGATGCCATTTTTGGCATTCTTGACAGTTTTGGCATTTCAGCAATTTTGATATTTCAACAGTTTTGGGATTTTTGACATTTTTGACATTTTTGGTAGGTTTTGGATTTTTGACATTTTGGACAGTTTCGGCATTTTTTGGCATTTTTGTCTGACATTTTGGCATTTTTGGTATTTTTGGTATTTTTGGCATTATGTAGGAGGTTTTACCTTTCAGCATCAGGCTAAACAGATTTTGACAGGCAACCTTAGTTGAGTCAGTATCAGGGATTAGATGCTATACTTGAAGAGATAAATAAGTAATCTCTTAAAAACATTTATTCCATCTGACAAAACATTGGTTAGGAATTGTATCAAATTTATGAGTATGAACTTTAATGCTATTTCAGATTATATAGTATTTGTACAATCATTTTTTTATTGTTACTAGCTTAGAAAAAATTATTTGCTACAATTTGATAATAAAGAAAAGTGCTGATTCTTGATCCATTCCAGACAAATGACCTGCTTACTATACAGTTTTCTCAAAATAACTTTGTGCTTCTTGAATAAGTGAAGAAAGTTGATTAGCTGATGAATCAATCCACTGTAGTGATATTAAATGTGAGTTGAGTATCTTCCCAACTTCTTCAATCTAATTAATGTCAATGATAAAAAAGCATTTTATATAAATATATGTGTAATAATGTAAATATAAAAAATATAAATCATAATTTAAAAAATATTAAAATTACTGGATCATCTTCAATGTCTTCAATCATCCCATCATCATTACCATCACCTGCTGGTGCAGTGGTAAAACTAGTAGATGATGATGATTGATTTGTGTTGATTTCATTAATTAATGTAAACAAGTCTTGACTCATAATATCTAAATTTTGATTTACATATTCAGTTATTTTATACCTTTTCAAAAAGAAATAAAAAAGATTTTTTGATTAGTTATTTAATGAATGTTTTTCTCATTAAAAACATTTTAATATTTTTTCTTACGTTTCTTCTCTCTCTTTATCAAATGGATTCATATTTTCCCAAATAGATTCATCAAAAAGTTTTTCAAAATCATCTAAAACCTTTTCTAAAACCTTTTGCTTATTATCTGTTTCATCTAAAAACGCATTAATTTCATTCTGTATAATTTTAGCCTCGTTAATTTTATCATTAAGCAGCATTACCTACAAGTATACATACCAATGTATATATTTAATTTATTTAGAAAAAAAATACAATAAATAAATAATAATTTAATTGATTAATTAATTAATTACCTTTCCATTAATTTCAATAACTCTTTGGTCTAATTGATGAACTTCTTTTACTTGACCATTAAATTTTTTGGTGCAATTGTCGAGATCTTTTGTCCATTTATCAATGATTCCTTCTATATTGTTGTTTTTTAACCATGCAGGTATTTGATCAGTAGCAGTTTTTGTTGTAGAGGGTATTGATAACGAGGTTGAAGCTGTAGTTGTGGTAGGTTTTGTTGTTGATGTTGTAGTTGTAGATAATAATGAAGGTATGGTTGTACTTGTGGTAACTGGTGTAGATAATTTAATTGATGGTGTAGTAGTAGCGGTGGTGGTAGTGGAATTAATAGAAGGAATGCTTGGTTTAGTGGTTGAAGGAATAGAAAATCTTGTTGCAGATGTTGAAGGTGTTGAAGGTGTTGTAAGAGGTTTTGTGGTTGCTGAAAATGAAGGAAATAATGAGGTCGGTGTTGTTGATGCTGTTTTAGGCGTTTCTGTTGTATCTTTTGAAATATTCAAAGTATTGGGTGCTATAAAAAATAGCATCAAGTGTTATAACTCAATTTACAATTAAATTAGCATAAATGTAAACATTTTAAAAAATAGATTACCAGATGTTGATGATGACAATGATGATGACAATGAAATTAAATTTGTTTTATTAGTTGTTGATGTAGGTGTTTTATCACCTGCTGCTGCGGTAGAAGAAGAAGTAGAAGTAGGGGTAGTAGTGGTACCAGGAAGTTTAAAGTTAGATATGTTAAAGGTTGACGGTTGAGATGATGTAGAAAATAAAGATGTTGGTTGCTGCTGTTGTGACTGTTGTTGTTGTTGTTGTTGTTGTTGTTGTTGTTGTTGTTGTTGTTGTTGAGAAGTTGAAGCTGAAGGTGTTGCTGCTGCTGCTGCTGTTGTTGTTGGTGTTGTTGTTGTTGGTGTTGTTGTTGTTGTTGAAAGACCTCCGATTCTTGAGAATAGGCTTTGTCCTTGAGTTTTTGGTGTGGAAAGTCCAGAAAACATTGAAGGTGCAGCAGTGGTGGTTGTATTATTAGAAGCAGGAGCATTAGTGGTATTTGTACTGCTTGATTGGGAAGCTGATTTTATTACATTAGTATCAGCAGCAGCAGTTGTGGTAGAAGTTGGAGTGGTTATTCCAAATAAAGGAAATTTTGGGGGAGCTGTGGTGGTGGGTGTGGATGTGTTGGTAGACAATGATGATGTAGGAAAGGTTGATTTAGTATTGGCACCAAAACCTCCTAATATACTATCTTTGCCTTTATTGGCATTAAAACCTGATGTGTTGAATGATAAAGGTTGAGGTGTAGTAGTAGAACCAGTTGCAGCTGTTGATACATTCGCGGTTTGTCCAAATCCGCCAATATTTGGTTTAAAACCAGAAAAGAAGTTTTGAGTAGATGCTGCAGTAGATGCTGCAGTGGGTGCTGCAGTTTCGGCAGGTTTGATTAGTCCTTGAAAAGCAGAAGTGCATAAAATTAAAATAAAATATTTTGATATTCAATAGTGAGTGACATTAGAAAGATTGTTTGTTTAAATATCCATAATAGTTTAATATTTAAAAAAAAGTATTACCGCTAAATGCAGATGGTGCATTAGTTGTAGTAGCAGTAGTGGTGGTGGGAACAATAGTTCCTGTTGTTGTGAAATTACCAAATGTACTTTTTTGTAGGGTGGAAAATCCACCTGCATTTCCTAAAGTAAATCCTGATGATCCAGTAGTTGCAGAGGTAGAATTAGCTACACTTGAAAATCCACCCCCACTGCCACCACCACTACCACCTCCTAAAGAAAATCCTGATGTATTGTTTGTAGCTGTAGTAGTAGTAGTTTTATTACTGGAAAAATTACTACCTCCAAAAGAAAATCCTGATGAACTAGTTGTAGGGGTAGAGCTAACATTTGAAATTTCTCCGCCACCTCCTAAGGTAAATAATCCCGATGAACCTGTAGTGGTGTTGGTAGGACCACCAACATTACTAGATAAGCTTCCACTCCCAAATGTACCAGTTTGAAAAGTAGATCCAAAGTTATTCGAAGCATTAACAGCAGGGAAGTTACTACCAGGAGTTGATCCGCCAAAACTTGTTAAACCAGTACCGGTAGAAGTTGGTTTAGTAGTAAGTTGAGAAGTGCTGGCACCAAATGATAATGCTGGGACATTGGTTGTAGTTGAGGTTGTGGTAGAGGCACCAGGAAAATTAAACCTTCCAAAACTGGTTGGTTTATCTGTAGCATTACTACTAGTTGTAGACGCATTACTAGACAATCCACTAGATACAAAAGCAAAAGGTGTAGCTGTTGTAGAAGTAGGGAAGCCACCAAATAATTGTTTATTTACATTTGTTGTCGTTGAAGTTGTTGAAGCTGGTCCAAAAATCGGCGGCTGAGAACTTGTAGTGGCAGGAGGATTATTTGTGTTGTTATTGTTATTATTGTTGTTGTTATTGTTATTAAAGCTCGCTATAATGATTAAAAGAGTAAAAATAGTAACGATTTAGAGGAAGAAAATGTAACAATAATTTAAAAAAAATTTTGTTAATACTACTAACACATTTTTCTAGACAGAAAATTTTTTTCTGAGAATAATTTTCACTGGTGTATTTTTTTAAATCACTGCGTCAAATGAATGATTTCTATCTGTTTCCACCACCATATTAAAATAGATTTTCTTATAAAGATGCCTTTTCATGTTCTAATTATTCTAAGTGATTTTGACGTCTATATAATAATATATATTTTATAATAAAATAATTGAAAGAAAATCATAGAACAGAAAATATAATTCAAGTTTGCAAATATGACAATAACCTTGATGGTGGTGATATTGATATCTACGAAGAGGCTCCACTCCTTCTGATATACATGTATGTGATTTCAATACATTGTAGTTTTTTTTATTTTCAAATTAAATAAACAAAACTCTGCCAACAATGATGTTCATTAATATTAATGATTTGTTGAATCATAATATTTATGAATGAATTAAGAAAAGGTTTGGGAAGTTTATATTTACAATGATAATTCCAATCTTGTATATCTTGGTCTTAGTTTAAGACAAAATATTATTATAACAAAAAAATTATTTGCATACACCCATTGAATTAAATAGATAAATGGATGAAAAATAATTATTTTGCATATTTGTTATGCTCCACCATACCACCCCAGCAATTGTCACAAAATGTTTATCTGTTGAAGGACCTGTTATTAAGGCATCCTGTCTGTAACTTGCCAATTCATCATCCTCAATTATCTCTTTTCTCACTCAATTCCTTTTTTTTCTTCTGAATGCAATAAAATTTCCAGAAGATAAATTTTTACTATGAAGAAATTGACTGAGCTGAGAGCATCATTAAAATCATAATTAAGCACCTTGTCTTTAAATCAACCATCATTAATTAATAAGTGCAATCTAACATTATACATTGCATTACATAAATCTACTTTGATAATATTCTGTTACTAAAACCTTTTCATAATCTATGCTATTTTCATAAGTTTTAAGATATTTGGATAACTAACTGACTAGTAAATCATCTATAAACAAATTTTGATGCACAGTTTAAAACCAACCCATTCTTCTCAACAAGGCTAAAGGAAATAGAACAATTCTGACTCATCATGAAACATTAGTTTTTTGGTCATTCATATTTTAACATTTAACCATTCTTGTTGAAGGCTTCTTCTTGGTTTTTTAAAATGTAGCATCATCATCTGAACCTTGAGTTGTCAAATCAATTGAACCTTCTGAAGCCAAGATATCTGATTCATCCAAAATGCACTATCCAGAATTTCAGCAATTGTTCTAAAATGCTAAAAATTAGTCACATGCAGATGGAACATCACATATAAATATGAAATATACTTTTTTTTCGGAAGTTAAGAGAAAATCCGGATTTTTAAAGTACTATTGCTATTTCACAACTTTGTTCGTCTTATTAAGTGATCTTTCTTTTTTTTTAAAAAGCCCAAAATATAATGATAATAAAGCAACTTGTGATAATTGCATCGAGGCAAGATATGGTTTCCATGTGTAGTAGTGACAAGAAAGAAATCATGAAGGAAAAAAGAAATTGATTAACCACACTGCAAACAGTTCAGGGTCAAATATCGAAAGATAAAATATTTATTACTATAAATGAAGCCTAGATTGATTTGTGAATGTCATAATGGCCGTAATTAAAAGCCGTAATGCCGTAATTAGGTCATTAAATGGTCATATAACTTCCAAAATATGTATGACCGAGTTGAACTAACTTTTGAGCCACACTTGTCGATTAATCGCAATGCTCATCAATTAACTTGTTTTACGAATTTGCTTATACTAAAAAGCTTTGGCGAATCTGTAAGCACGCTTTTATGGTACAATTTAACAACAAATAAAACATAGCCCTATTATAAAGCAACGAATGCTTCGGTGAAGTTCCTTATTTACTTACTTTTCTTCGGATGATCAATTCAGCCGTACGTTAGTAAAATACTTTAACACAATATGACAAAGTGATATGTGATAACGACTTTGGTTAATAGATGTAAGCGCTTTATATCTGGCCAAACACAAAAACACTTGGATTCTTTTATAAAAACAAAACCGATTACGCTCAACAAAAACAAAAAATCAAATCTTTGCTTTCTACAAAAGCAAACAACAAAAACTGAATTACAAAACCTAGAGTTCTATATAGAGTTTCTATTTAAATAAGGTTTATTCGAATTGTTTGTTTTATTCGTTATGAATTTGAATATTCGAAAGTTTATTCGAATAAAACGAATAAGAATTTGTATTACGAATAGAAACCCACTCTGATAATAAAATGGACAATTAAACCCTGCTGTTTAATTTCCGGCTACCAAAATGGTTTATTAAAAAAAAAGAATTAATTTGTAAAAATTAACAATTTCTGCCTCTACTCTTATGAGCAAGGCTCTTAGACATACTAGCTAATAATAGATAGTTCATAGTCCATATTCTGCTTCTATAATAATTTTTATGTTAATCTTTAAAAAATTAATTAATATATTTGTGCTGGGACAAATCTAAGTTGTAATGAATCGAGCTTCTTCCTGGGAGTCATTAGACATTTTATCTTTCGATTTTGAGCGCTTGAAAGTAGATGTAAATGTCATAAAGATTAAATTTCTTAAATCAAAAAGGTTTAAAAGAAATGTACAACAAAGCCTTGATTAATAGAACAAGTTTTTTTAGTCGAGTAAAATCTTGTAATTTACATTGATGAACAATTTTAATTATTTTGAAAATAAACCTATAATAAAATAATGGAGGTGCAAAATTCCTTATTTAATTTTCACATATGTGAGTTGCACTAAGCTTTGAATCCCTTTAAAAACATTTTGTAATTATATATAAAACCTGATTTTTTTTTTTTTTTTGTTATTTATTTATATTAAGAATAGAATCACAATTGTTTATATTTATATAATTATTTAATAAAGTGTTGCAAATACATAATACGTAAAAAGAAAAAAAGAAAAGAAAAAAGAGTCTTAATTAAATCTTAAAAAAAAATTTAACTGAATTAAACAAAACGTACCACTTATATTAAAAGTAAAAACTTTAAAATATTCATTCATATTGAAATTATTTGAAGATATTTTTTTGTAAACATATTATCATAGTTATCATAATTATTATTTAGAATTCAATGTAATTTCTTTTAATAGTATTATTACTTTTAAAGAAATCTAATCTAATTTCACTTAATTTATCAATTGAAGCAATAAAGTTTTGTATATCATTTTCATCTACTGAATTGATTTCTTCTTCGTGGGCAGTGTATTGCTCAAGTTGAATATTTGAAGATGAAGTGTTAAATAAAGGAAAAGTATTCGAAATACTTGAAGATGAAAACAAAACACTATTACTATTATTATCATCTATATTATAATATTGACCTAATTGACTAAAATTATTATTATTTTTAACATTCGATATTTCAGGTGAAATAAAAATACTATCTTCAAAATTTATCATCTCAAGTTCAAAATGTGGATTTGTTGGATTAATTCCTAAACTTTTTAATAAGTTTTCAATTTCTTCAATTTGCATACCACATGGAAAATTGACTCTTAATTCATATCCAAAAATTTTTATTTCATAGTTTTCATGTTGCAACAATTTCTCCAATATTGATGTAATTTCTTTCATGTGGTTATAATAAAGTTCTGAATTCTCACGAAGTCCTTCAACGATTAAATCGTTTAGTTGTTGAATATCAGGCGGCTTTTTATGAAATAAAGATGTATCACTAATATTTGATATATTTGATATAGAAGTGGCCATGCTGTTAAGTGACCAGAGAGGAGGAGGTGAACTGATCACAAAAGTCATATAGTATTGAATATTTCTAGTGGTATAATCAATGCCTCTATCCAAAATTTCATCGTCATGATCAAAAGTATTATCATTATAAATAGTCATTGCATTGTTATCTTGACTTTTGCTACTATTATTACTAATTTTTATTCTTTTATCGATATTTAACGTAGCTTTATCACTTTGATCAAAAAGTTTGCGACCAATCGACTTTTCATGAAATTTAAATTCATTTTTCTTTAAACTATTTGCATTTTTGTTTTCAATTTTTTGATCTAAATTATTATTAAGATTATATTTTGAGAATAAGGAATCTGGTTTATTAAAAAGATTAAAAAATGGTTTGAAGCCTAGGTAAAACATAGCATTTCCACCGCAATTGGTAGCATTATTTACCATCGATGTTGTGTGAATAGTTGAGAATTTCCTACTGCTATTGGCAACAAATACATTTTTTAGACCTATTGGACACAAAGATACGGGATTATGAAATAAACCTATCCTGTTTTGTATATGAAGTTGGTTTGAATTCCAAGACGCAACTGGAACAGGTTTTGAAAAATAATTAAATTTGTTATTAAAAAGACCAAAGTTTTGCTCAATAAAATTATAGAGTTTAGAGTTTTCTTGAGCATTGATTAGAGAGAAATTAGATTCTACAAGCTGTTTCTGTAAATCTGCACATTGTTTTGTTGAATGAGAAAGTTGGGAATTACAAGTGGTATTTAAAGATGTTGATTTTTGTGGCCCTCTAACCCCATGAGTAGTCAAAAGACGCTCTAGGGGTTCAACAAAGGCCTTTATTTTTTTTAGCATTTATAAAGTTCGGCTCGCATAAACTAACAAGAACAATTTTTGTTATTTATGTAATACGGTCAACCAAATTTGGAATCGATTCCAATAATGATAGTCTATTTTTAATAATGCTTTTTATTGCGTGTAACGTTCAAAAGTGGGTATTTTACTTGTTACACGGCCTTTATCTCTTCAGCGCCACAACGCCAATTTGAGAAAATCAAAAAATTTTGATATCGCAATTGTTATAATGTTTAAGGTGCGATAATAACGAATTGCCAATTTGGGTTAGCATAGTAATATATTAATACAATCACAGTATTTGCTTTTGTTAATTGCGCAAAAATATAGTTAAACCTTGTCATAACGAATTTTTGTTACAACGAATTTTGAAAAAATTTTTTTTTTAATAATAATAAAATCTTGTTACGAACAACAAATTTTTGGTAAAAATTTTTTTGATCTAGCTACTAATCGCGTTACTACGAATTCACATATTAAATGACCAATAAAAATGCGTTAAAAATCGTATGATTAAAAGAATCATACAATCTGTCGTTGTGATAAAAAACATTGTCAATAACTCGAAAGATTGCATGATTACTTTCATGTAATAAAAATATATATGATTTAAAAATTGTCATCTAAAAAGTGAAACTTTATTACAGCTAAACAAAAAAGAGAAATTTGCTTATTAAAAAGAAATAATCTCAACCAAAAAATGTTGAATTAGCAGCACAATATGTGTTGACTTATTTACATTATTATATTTATCATTTTTTATTTTTAATTTTTTTTTTTTTTTGTAATAAAAGAACAATTTTTTCTTTAGTAAAAAAATTTTTTTGTCATACCAATATGCTAACAATTTTTATCGATCCTGATCATCTCAACGAACTTTTGTCACAACGAATTTAGGTGGTCAGTCCCACACATTCGTTATGACAAGGTTAGACTGTATTAGTATACATATCATTTGCGGTTTAGGTTCTTGTGAATATTATTATGCATATAGGTTTAAATATATAAAAATAAAAAATTTTCTTTGACGATCACTAAATTTCTGATGCGAAATTTTTTATTTTATTACTCAAATTTTATGTAATAATTTTAATTTAAAATTTCAACTATTTTTTAATATTTAGTTGGGTATCCTTTGCCTTTTATACAAGCCTGAATTCTTCTAGGCATTCTTACAATCAAATTCGTCGAGGAATTTTATTACATTCCTCTTTTAAAGCAGCCTCGGGTTCAAGTTCTTTAAGAATTCTTAGATTGTTAGGACGACTTCTAATACGATATACTGTTGTGGTGGGAAAGCCAAGTATTTTAGAAATACTTCTATATAAGGCTCCACTTTTATAATAATAAAGACCAACTATTTGTTCGCGTTGAGCTTCAGTTTAAATTAGACCTTTTTTTTTTTTTTGAAATTTAAATTTTTAATATTTTTTCAGAATCACCAAACTTGGGTTTTCATATACAAAATTCCAAAACATATTACTATGTAGGTTCTTGGACAATTTCTAAAAACATCATGTCAAAAATTTTTGATTTCCAAAATTTAATCGCATTTCATTTTTATATATTTATTCGAGTTCTACGGAACCTATATGCATGGGATTTTGCATAGATATTCACAAGAACCTAAACCGCAAATGATATATGTTTATTATGTGTATTTTTGCGCAATTAACAAAGCAAGTGTTTCCGAAACTTTTGTCCAGGTACTGTATGTTATCTCTGTTAACTATTTCACAAAAGAATTCTTATTTTTATCGCATTCCCTAGACAAAAGTTTTCAGACACCTATTTACAGTACATTAATTACTCAAAAATCTATTTATTTATATCAGTTGTAACTTGGGTTTGACGAATAGGTGTATTAAAAACCATACTTCTAACATATTTAGATGTTTAGTGGTTATGAATTTAATTTCAACGACAATAAATTTTTTAATTGGAATTCAATTTTTTATTTACTGGAACTCTAAATGTGTTAATAATATAATATAATATATTCGCTAAACTCAAAAGCTACAAATTGACATAAAATTTTATTTAATTAGTTTCTTTATGAATTTAATTTAATCCTTTGAAAATTCTTATTTTGTTAATTTATTCTTGAGATTTAATATCTTTGTTAGCAACACATTTGTTAATTAGTGAATGCGTGAACAATTTGGAAAATAGCTCTCAGTATAAGATATGAAAAAATTTAATGTGAATTTGTGATTACATGACATTAATTAATTAGGTATTTTATAAAAATTTGCAAAGTAATAGTAGGAAGAAGTACTAGTTTGAAAGCATCCGTGTTATTAAATTTCTCTCTCTTTATAACGGACTGTTCGGCTTAGTGTTAGTATTAGGAAAAAATATCTGTTATAATAATTTTTATATATTAATGTTAGGCTTAAATTCTAGATCAATTATAGAAAGATCCGTTATTATAAGGAGAGTGCATGTTTACTCAAACACTTCTCTGATTCATAGACGAACCATCAATTAAAAATTCAAGATTTTTATACTACAAAATTCAAAGATGCTTGACCTACATACATCCAAGAACGGTTGGTAAAATATTACAAAGATGTTTGGGTTGAGCGCCAACATATTTGGCGCCGTTTTTTTTATCAGGCTATTCTTTATTAGTCGATTGATTTGTTTTGATTTACTAAAATTCATTTTACCTTACATCATTGCAATCATTATCAGTTGGTTAAAACTCCTCTTTTGCCTAATGTAATAATCAATACAATAATATTACAATACCAATAATTCTTTATTGTAGTTTTAATTTTTGTCTGAACCCTTGTCAATCAAGGAATTAAGGGTTTGAATTACTATAAAAAGAACTCAAAAACATTATAATATTTATTTTTTTATATAAATAAATGATTCTGATAATAAACACATTAAAAATAAAAACATTGATAATTACTTTTTAATTTTTATAAATATGAAAAACCAAAGCAGGCTTGTTCATAAAACAAAGAGAAAATTTAGTGTTTCAGCAGTGCCACAAACTGTATATCTTGGATTGGAATTAGACTATGATCAGGCTAATCAAAAAAAAATAGTTTATGCTGTTTCTATACATGATGGATATTATACAGTTGATTTTGAATCTTCTTCAGTGGATGTTTCCAAATATAAAACTGACCAAGAAAAAATCAATGGAGCCGTTGATGTAATATTAGGAAATATTGCTTTATATGTTAAAACTCAAAAATTCAAGGTTCAAGCTATAGGTCTAGGTGCTTATTTAAAAAATCAAGATGGAAATGATATAAAAAAGTTATTGTTCACATCACCTAGTTTAGCATCAAGAATTTGGTTAGAACTTGATGCATTGCCATTCATTGTTCATACAAAAGGCAGGACTGTTGATGAGAGAGCTAGTTCTGCTGTTAGAAAAACTGTTGTTTGGTAAATACTAAAAATTTATTGATCTATAAATATTTATATAATCACACACACACATATAAACTGACTTTTGCATATTTGCATACATATGAATATAGGATGAGTCCTCTAACACCAGGATCAATTCCAAGAATATCAGTTGGCTATAGGCATGAAGTAGAGGTTGATCTTAATGGAATGATCAAATTGGTTGATTTGCTTCATTATGAAAAAACTGTTTGCCCTGAAACCTGGAGAGTAATAAATACTATTGCAAATGAGCTCAGAGCCAAAAATACTTATATATCATTTTTTAATGCCACTCCTCAAGGTGGTGGAGGTAATTAGTTTTGGATGGATTTATTTATTCATTGATTCAATTTTATTCCTATTATTATATTTATATATTTATATATTACCCAATTGATTAGTTGCTTTGATGAGACATGCAATTGTACGTTTATGTCATTTATTAGAACTTAATATACACTGGTTTGTTGCCAAACCAAAACCTGAAATTTTTGATATCACAAAAAGAAAATTTCATAATGTTCTACAGGTAGTTAATTATTAAAAAAAATTGTAATTACATAATAATGGTTTAATTAAATCTATTCATTTATTCTATATTTAAAAGGGTGTTTCTCCACCTAATGTTAGACTAACAAAATCCGATAAGGAAGAATTCATTGCATGGTCTAATAATAATGCTAAATGCTTCTGGAATGATGATGAAGGTCCTATAAAAAAAAGTGATGTGATAATTATAGATGATCCACAAGGTACACATGATATTCCATTATCTATATAATCAATCTTTATTATTTAAAATAAAATAATCAATATTTAATTTATATTTTATATATTTTATATTATAGTTTGTGGTATTATTCCATACATCAAAAAATTCAATCCAGCTTGTAAAGTTATTTATAGAAGTCATATTGAAAGTAAGTTAATTTTTTTT